AGAGGAGTTCAATGAAGGATTCAGAGAGCAGAGAGTGGAGAAAATCAAGTAGAAGAGAAGTTTTAAGTAAGTTAAAAGGTGTATCCGTACATGTGTGGTCCATTATCTTTAGCAACTTCCTTTTTAAGTCAAGACTTCTTAAGGGAGAAGAAATGAACAGTCCAGTACTTGACTTTTAATCTCTTGTAACAGAGAAAATACCCATACCGGAACTTAATTATTTCCAGAATATACCCATTTTCATTAAGTAAAATGATAACTTAATTTAAAGACTTTGATCCAAATTAAGCTGTTGTCCTCAGGATATATTTATGCATTGTAAAATCAATCCCAAAACAGAAAAAGAAACTGCTCACACTACTTAAGAGAGCAAGGTGGTAAATATTCTGAGAAAAGAAGTGTTAATTAGTTATTATAACTGGAAGTCCGGAACTAAACCATTGAAATCACTCCAATCTTCAATGTTTATAGCTTTATGGGGGTTGAAATAGCAGTTAAATCATTCCAAGCATAAATAATTGAAGAAGATTAAACAACTAATAGAAGAGTCTCTACAGACCAAAACTCATATATCGGCTACCTCAAGAACCCAACATTATATAAGAAGTGATGATTTATGATGAAGTTATGTATGGTACCTGATGATCGCCAAATGCAGCTAGTTAGCTAGCTAGTGTTGCTTCAGAAGTGTAATGAAGTACTTAAGGAAAAGGCCGGAGAGCGAAGAGAAAAACCAGTAGAAAAGCAGTTTTAAAAAAAGTAGAGTAAAAGGTGCATCACTGTGTAGACCTATCATCTTTACAGTCTTCGGGAAAAGGAAATTTTTTAATGGACAAGACATCAACAGTCCAATATTTTTCCTGACTTTTTATATTTGGAATAATGAATGAATTTGTGTCTAATTTGTATGGATTTGTTTTTGAGCTTGTACAAATTTATTTTTGGGTTTCAAATAAGCTTTTAAAAATTACATAATTTTGAGCAAAAGTGAATCTAACATGAATGCCCTAAATCCAAGTCTCCATAGTTATTAATAGGTGTTTGATGCGTGATTTTGATACTAATAAAATGTACGTGTGAAACGTTGAACTAGCTCAGAAGACACACGTGAATATAAAAAAAAGAGGAAGAGGATAAATGCAATGAGAAAAACGTTTTTAAAGTGGTTCGGATGCTAAGGAAGCAAGTTTTACGTCCACTGTTATATTATCAATGATAGAGGTCAGGTCGCATGAGCTGACTGACCTTCAAGTGATAGTACAAGAGAGAGAATGCTTTTGTATTACAGAGAGAATAACTAATCAAGAGTAAAGGTGAACGAATCTCTTGAATGGGAGTGAAGCTCTCTATTTATAATAGGATACATTGAGCTAATGATTACTGAATCTGTGAGCTGGTGGGATTAAGTGTACAAATCATTCTTTATGTCACATTGTTTACCTTCTAAAGTGATTTACGCGATTTAGAGCAGGAATTGGACACGTGGGATCATCACAGCTTCGACTGGTCTGACACGCACCTACTATTATGACATAAGCAGACTATTCCTTTCCTCACGTGACTCGATTGTGAGTATTCCCATACTTTGACTTATTAGACTTTACGCCAGTCCTATATTTTTAAGCGTGGTCATTATCCACTGGGGCTATAAAAAAAAAGTCGAATCGAACTGAAAAACCAGATCGAAACCAGTTTGAAAAATCAATTTTTCAAAACAACCTATTCGATTTCGATTTTTAAAATAAATCGAGAGCTGGTTTTTCTATTATTTTAAAACTATCGAGAGGGAGAGAGAGAGAGAGAAAGTTTAACAATAAGAAATAAAAAAAAATTAGAAAAACTGACAAAGAGAAGCTGCACGCCACCTGCTGTGCATTTAATTCCTTGGAACTCTCACCATCTTTAGCTACCCACTTATATTTACTGCTTCTTCTTCCCCTACAGCTACGAACACCCCAATTTTTTTCCTAAATCAACTTTCCACACCCCAGTCGTAGCTGCTCGACCAATTTGTTTTCCAAATCACAATTTTTCTTTTTCCAAGTCTTCTCTCCCATCTCAATCGACAGTAGCCTCCACACCCAATAGCATTCGTTTGATACGGTTAAAATCTTTGATTTATCTTTTCAACTTTCTATGTTTTGCAAGCTTTTTTATTCACCAATCTTCTTATTTTTCTCTCTCTAGAAAGGTCACTCTCTCCAACAAAGTTCAGATATCATGATTGTATATGAGTTGATGGGAATGGAAGGTGGAGTCTGGGTGGTTTGACGTTGCGAGAAAGTTGGTGACGGTAGTTTGACATCGTGAACCCTCAAAATAGTGGGAGAATGGGGATTGTTTTATAAAACCGGTTCATAAACCGGTTAACCGGTAACCAAACTGAATTATCGGTTCAGTTAATAATTGGTTTAAGAGATAATTCGGTCCAATTTTAGTTTGAATTATCTTCTAAACCGAAAAATCGATTCGGTTCAAAATATTATTACTCCGGTCTGGTTAATCGGATTTTCACACCCCTATTGTCTACTAGAACTCTTATTGGTTGATAGTTTCAGTTTCGAATGATTAGTTGAGATGCGTATAAATTGACTTGAAATCCGTAATCATAAGAAAAAAAATAATTAACATAATTTTGTTTGAGATTATACCCAAGTGTCATTTACCCAAAATCCGTCTATATTAGAAAACTTATCTTATAAAACTTGAGTTCTCATGAGATTGTGGCATATCACATTATCGAAAATCCACCCCATAAACCTTGTGTCCCACCTTGGAAAACCAACCTTATTTGCATGGATTTACTTTGAGCTTCAGATAAATTATCTTTATTATTAGAATTGTGTCCACTTTATTTATAGAATCATCGTTATTTTTATACCTAAAAAATATAAGGATTGACGTTAGGTCCACTCAGCTCACAAAAGTCAGATCATTGGGACAACCATTGCCTGTTTCTGTCAAGGTAGTGGGTGCACGTCAGGCTAGTCAAGAGCTGTGGTGCTCCCACGTGTTCAATCCCTGCTCTAAATCACGCAAATCACTCTGGAAGGTGGACAATGTGACATAAAGAAGGATTTGCACGAATAATCCTACAAACTTACAGATTTAGTGATCATTGCTTCATGACATCTGACTATAAATTGGAAACTCATCTCTTATTGAAAGGGATTGGCACATGTTACACTTGATTAATTATCCTCTCTTTCCTAGAATTCTTAGCATTCAATACCTTGTAATATTACTGTAAAGTCAGTCAGCTAAAAGCGACCTGACCTTTATCATCAATATAAGCACCAGTGGACGTAGGACTTGTTACCTTAGCATCCGAACCACTTTAAAAACTGTCCCCATTGCATTTACTATCTCTTTATTCATTACATTCACGTGTGTCTTCTTGATTATCACAGCATTTCACACGTGCGTTTCGTTAGTACAAAAATCACGCATCAACAGTTATGAACCTTACATTCTCATGAGATCATGTCACAGCACTATCGGAGTCTCACCCTATGGACCCTACCACACCGTCAGATTTCAAGTTAGTTCAAATAGCAATTGTAATCACTCTGATACTCTATGAATGGCCTAGTTCATGTGTTTTGCTTCTAATGGTATTACTTGTTAATTATCAGAAAAACTAATAAGCAAACCCTAATACAATGCTTTTATTTATGTACATGTATATATATGATAATGCAATCCCACTGAAAGAACAATACCAGAGTATCAATTACAAATTCCCATTCTGATACACCTAATAAGATGACATATTCTTTCATAGTAGGTGAACCAACATGTTCTCAATGTTCTGGATTTGGATCTCTAAGAAAGGCATCAGTTAGAACTGATTCAGACACAAAAGAAGCCACCATAAGACGCAAGGCCTGCAACGAAAGAAAAGTTTACAGAGTATCAGCGGGATAGTAAATAAATTATTCAGATAATCTGATCTGGGTTCTCATGGCATAAAAAATTCTCAATCGAGGCTCTCCACCTGTGCAGCCTAATAAGTAAGAGGTGGTACCTCCACAATAGCAAAATTCGTGGCAGCTATAATATGCATTGTTCAATGAGGGTAGTGGGATGGCATTTGGCAGAATAATGGATGAAATGAACATAGCGGCTACAGCTGGTGCTTTGGTGAGCCTGGTATGTAGCGGCCACTGCTACAGCTGTAGCTTTTTCCTATGGAACCTCGTTTTGTTTTACTTCTACACTCACTTACTATCACTAAGAACTTGGTGTAGTAAAAGATCCCTAAATTGAGATCTAGGAGAAAGAGAAATTTGAACAGAGTTTTGAATTCAAAGAAATTTGAAAATCAAGGAAAACGATGCTGGTACACCGTACACATTCTGTATATCTGCAATCTATTGTCATGGTGTCTTGATATGTCATTATCTTGCAATTCAATAAGAATTACACTGTAGTAATTGATTCAAAATATCAGGAAATGAAAACCTTGGCAGTTTTAAAATTGAACGAATTAGCTGATCTTGTTGTCACACTTTGATGCTAATAAGACTGCTAATGCTCTGGCCAATGTGAGGCAGAAACATTAAAATACAGTAGTTGCTACCCAGCAGATGATTTTTTTCCGCCTAATAGGTGTATCTTCGATGTAGAATATCTGTGATTATGTGGAAAAAAAAAAATCTTTTTTCTTATAAAAAGTCCTAAATTGTGTAGAAAAGAATCAATATTTGTAGACAATGGGATGCTTTGTGAGAGTTTTATTGCAGAATTTGATACATTAACTTACCTCCTCACAGCCCACATGCACAACACGCTCCTCAATGTCAGCAACAGGTTTATCCAATTTGCTCAGAAGAGACAGACATGAGGTTGAGGATATAGGTGTTATGATCAACTTGTCTGTTATGGTGAACATTGCCGGTCCCTTTGCAAATCCTCTTCTTGTAGTTTCCTTGACAGTTAATGTTGAAATTGTACTCCCTTGTGAATAACATTGCATCCAAGAAGAAAGACGAGCTTTATCATAAGACAAATATCTGCCAATCTCCAAATTCATTTTTCTTCTGCGCGTAGTAATATGGCGGGGGTATATCTTCCTCAATGCCAAGTGGATTGTTCTCATAGCTAAACCCAGGGGCAAGTTTTGGATTGACTAGCATTGCCTTGTGCTCATTTGATTTTAGGTATTTCTCAGCAATCTAGTTCGTGAACACTATTGTATAGGTGATTTATACATCCTTTGGAAATGCTGCTGTGGCATTTCCTTTACCATATGCCCAAGTGGAACAGTGAGGAAACTGAATAACAAATCAACGAAATCTTCCCCTGCTTCTGCATAGCAAACCATCTTCCAGGATTTGCTAGTTATAAAGTTGACATGAATTTTCTTATTCACCTTTGATGCTGGTTCTTCCATTCTAGATTTGACATAGTCGCCCTGATGAAAATCTTCTTTGTCCAATTCATTTACTAGACTATTCTTCAACAAAGTTTCTGTCAAAGGTGTCTCTGATACTAGAGAGAACTTGAGCAAAGTCAAAACCTGAAACAATCCATTAGGTCACAAAACTATGATAAACGAATTGATATCTATTTTTTTTTTCCTTTTTCTGCTCTATACTCTGCTATTAGTTAACTTCTGATATTGTCTTGCTTTTTTGCATAACATTTTTATTTACTTCTAAAAGAATAAACAGGATTTTAGGTGAATTATTTCCAGCAAAGTGATCATCGTGAGGATGAACAAGCTGCTATATTATGTAGAAATAGATGGATAAGTTAAAAAGTACTACAATTCTAGGGGGAATCAGTACTGAATCTCATAAAACAGCGTGAACAATAGTTACCTCATCTACACCTATGTCGAAATTACGTTCCTCAATGGTGCTCCAGTCCGAGCCAATTAGCTTGGAAAGTAAAGAAAGGCGAGATTCAGTACATGAGGGCAATACTTGCAATTCATCACTTATTATAAATCTCGTTTGCTCTCTGACAAACACCACATTATAATCGTATAGGGTACATGATGGCAATAGCTCAGCTACTTTAGTCTCCAACAGATGAACCTCGCGATTTATGTGCTCTCGGCAATCGCAAATGGCATCGCTGTAGGGACTCAATAACTTGTAGCCAGAAAGGGTGCATAATTTGTTACAACAAAGAAAGTACTTCAGGGTTTGACCATCATCAATCTTCAATTTCAGTTTCTCACATTGAGCTGCAGATCCATTTCTGGGATACAGCAACATGTTCTTGCATACTGCAGTTTGAAATTGCTGCACACCAAGATTCTCAACACTTTCATACAAATTTTTAAGGCAACCTAACCCCAAGCTTGGTGGCTGCTTACGGATGAGCCTGATGATTGTACCCATTGGCATTGTCAAGAAACTGAAGAGAACATCAATAAAGTCCTTATCTGATTCAACAAAAACAATTTTGTTCTTCTCCTTGTCCACCCAAGCCCTAAAACTAATAGCATTTGTTTCTTTCTTATCCATTGACATAGGATTTCAGTTCTTCTATTTGTTAAAACGTTAATCATTAATTACTCATCCCAGCATGAAGCTTGCGTTCCATACACTTCAAGAACTGAAAAATTTCAAGAAACCCTCATTAAAATAAACAAGCCGTAAAATTCCTCAAGTTTAGAGCTTTTTGGGGTTGTTATAACAGTAAAAACAGTCCAACCAATAAACTAGCCAACAAAAGCAGAAAAGCAATCACTGTACCAATCATCAAAGCGCATAAGTTAGCTCAAGCACTACAGTTCTATCATTATAATTAACTAATGATTTGTGATGAAAATAAGGTACCTGATGATGATCACCAAATGAAACCAGTTTATTGCTCAAGCCTCAACAGACTGCTACTAAGAATGTCGAGAAAGAATGTGAAGAAGGGAAGAACAAGGAGCATCCGTACGTACGTGCACTTGTGGTTTAGTATCTTTCAGAGTCTTTTATGGAAGAAAGAATCGAATTTTTAATGGAGAAGGCATTGATAGTGTCCCAGGATTGAGTTGACTTGGGCCTTTCCCTATCATAGAAAATATCACCCAAAACCCTTGACGTCTCTCAATACTTTTACCTCCTCTGACATTTGAAAAATTAGCATTTACATCCCCTTGACCAGGACCACTTATGGTCAACACAATCTAAGAAAGTGAAATCACATAACTGCCCCTCCAGTTAAACAAGTTGTCCCATCAACATAAAGCCTATATTAATACCAAAATCCACCAAACATCGATAAAATCTCAATTGATGTCAAACCATAAACCAAAGGGTAGAAAAAGCGACGACCCCAAGGAGTGTAGTGGTGCCGACGATACACTATCACTTATAATTGTTCAACTACGAAGTTTCATGTCTCTCTTGATTTCGGGGAAGATTTCGATGACTTCATCCTCACTTGTAGCTCTTCAACTACGAAGTTTTGTGTCTTTCTTAATTTTTTACAGAGATTTCAACGACTTCCTTTATCGGTGGTCGCAAATGATCAATGTCGGAAGGTACATATATGCTACTAATGCTAAGTAAGTAAGATTAGATTTTTATCCTTATGTTGAAATGAATTAAGATTCCTTTTTGGTTTAAATTTCATTTGATTTTATTATATTATAATATATAACTATTACGAAATTAAACTAAATGATGGTGGTGATTAGTTAGATGGGGATAAACAAAATTTACTTTTAGGTATGCTTGCTTCATCCTTACAAGTAGGGTGATTGGGTCCAGGTAAACGCCCTTTTTCCAAGGAACCGGAATCGAAACCAAAACCAACCGGTTTTCCGGTTTTGGTTTCAGGTACTTGGGAAAATTTTGAGTACCCCATACTATTCACAAAAATGACAAATACACCTTATAAAAGTTACATATACATCTCTAATAGTTTACAAAAAATAGAAATATACCCTAGGTACCCATTGGTTCCACCCTGGGTACTTGGACCTCGATTTCAGTTTTAATTATGACCACCGATGCGGTTCCACCAAATTTGAAATTGAAACCAACTTTTTCTATGTCGGTTTCGATTGAACCCTAGATACTGGTCGGTTTCGGTTCTACCTGGATTTCATGCTCACCCCAACTGACAAGTTTCAGTTACAATAATCTTGATTATTGGGGTAATTAACATGTTGACTAATATTATTTATCAACTTTCATGTATGAGAATTTTGTGTGTTATATTAAATATAATAAACATTGGAATTTAATTCAATGCATTGGCTGTATAGATTCATAGGATATCTTAAGATTAAAGGAAAATATTTGAATTAAATTGAATATATATAGCCGATTAACGACGTCGTATGGCGTTAACAACAAGAATTGAATCACAGAATACGTAATTAATTAATTAATTTAATTAATCCATGTTTTCAGCAATTTCTATATAACCAGTTAAGCCTTTCTGTTTGGCTTCACTGTACTCCCTAAAAAAAAAAAAAAATAAGGATTCAGGAGCTTCGCTTTAGCTTCTCGAACATTCCCGCCAGACTCGTAAGGAGTAAGAACTATTGCTCCCAAAATCACTAGTTTGTTATTTTTTCGCTAATGTGCACGGTACATTTCTGATCGCTTAAACCCTAAGAAACTTTGTTTTAATTTAATTAATTTATTTGTTTTCCAGTTTTGCAGGTATGTTTGGTTAGGGTTTTAAAGTGCTGATAATTGAAACACTGAAGAGGAGATTTTAGGTACAGGATTTATGTGCAGTTCAGCATTGGACTATGTTTTTAAAATTAAATGACAATTAATTGATAAATTTTCGGACTGTGTTTGGCTTTAATTTTATTTATTTATTTTTCTGTTTGTTGTTGCTGTTGATGAGTTTTGGGAACTTAGAAGTGTCATATTATTGGTTGTACAGGAGTATGAGATGAGTGTTGATGAAGTTAAATTGTGCATCTCTGGGTTGTCAGTCTTTGTTGCCTGTTTGTTTGGTTTTAGTGCACGTTAATTACTTGTTTGTTTGGTAATTTATCTGCATTGTTGAAATATGCTGTTACAGACATATTGTGTTGTTTGATTTCCGAGAGACTCTGCTGGAGAGTGAAGGTCTAGGCTAGATCCAATTTTCCAGACATCTCTTTGATGTATGCCCTGATTTCAGTCGCAAGATCAGTCGATGGTAAGTTGGCTGCCACTTCTGATGAAACGCAATTTCCGATCCATGAACGAATAAGAATATTGCAGCGGTTCCAATGGCAGCAAAGGTGGTTGTTGGTGGGTGGTGGAGTGGTTGTGCCGTCGATGAAGCTCTCTTTATCCTTTGTGATAAGAGCCCGACGGAAATCTTTGGCCCAAGTGGCATAATTCTCAGATCCCATCAAAAGTTTGGCCCAAGTATTTCTCAGCATCGAGTTCCTGAACACTATTATACAGGTTAGTTAAGGATCCTTTTGAAATGCTACTTGCATTTCTTTTATTATATAACCAAGTGGAACAGTTAGGAAACTGGAGATTGCTTCGGCATAACAAACCATTTTCTTGGATTTGCTGACCATGGCTTTACATGTATCTTCCCCTCCACATTTGGTTCTGGTTCTTCTACTGTAGTTTCAACATAGATGTTCTGATAAAAATCTTCTTTGTCGAACTCTGGTACTGAATTTTGTTCAACAAAGTTTCTGTCAAAGGTTTCTTTGAAACGAGTGAGAACTTGAGCAATGTGAGAACCTAAAAGAAGGCATCAGGTCACAAACACAGCCACAGTTCAGCTATCTCATAAATTGTGAAATTATTAATCATATTCAGAGAGATGATACTAGATCAAATTCAAAAGCCCTACTTTTTGCCAATTATAACTGTTGGTTAGTTAGGTTCTGATATTTTTATTGGTTAGTTAGCTTCTGATATTTTTACCTTGACTGTGAAACATAGTTCTTTCCTTTATTCTTTTGATCCCCATCATTTACTTCTAAAAAAGCAAACTGCATTGAAGGTGAATTATTTCCGGGAGATATTCATCATGAGTACAAATTGGTTTCTTCATGTACTAAGTTTGATCATACAAAACAATTCATAACTACAAATAGTGGTAGAATCTGATAAAATTATTAAATTTTAGAATCAGATTGAAATAGTTACCTCATCTACTTCTATGTTTTGCTAAAACACCTTAGCCAGAATAAAAGTTTAAATTTTAACAAAAACACTTACATCCACCCAAGTCATTGTCGGCCACCGACTAACACCATTGGCCGCGGCCAACCATGGCTTGAACGGTGCATGACCGGTTGGATTTGGCTAGTCGTGTGTCAATCTGGCTGTTTTTCAACTAGATCGATGTCCATGGATTTAGTCAAAAATGGCAAGATCTATTCTATAAGAGGATGTACATCACAGATAGTAATCACCGTGGGCTATTTTCAATTTATGCAGACTTGATTAAAAATGTATTTACTTAATTAGTCTTGTGTGTTTGTGAGAAAGAAAGATGGCACACACAAAAGCAAACTCAAAATTACCAATATAATGCAAATCCTTTGTTGCAACATATTTATATAACATTGCAATATCCTCTGGTCTAAGAGCATACCATATTACAAACACAAATTCTAACACAATATATAACTAGGTTTCACATGAACAACATCTCATATTTTAGTTGTAATAAGATTATCCTGATTGTTCTCAATTTGACTCTCCTAGAAAGGCAATGGTCAGAGCAGATTCAGATACAAGAGAAGCCACCAATAGACGCAAAGCCTGTAATGCAAAACAAATTCACAGGTATCAACAAGGGAAGAAATTAGCAATTCAATATTAGTATTGGATGTTTAATGTCATAAAGCTCATGATTGATTCAGAACTCTCTAATTTTGCAGCATATTGAGTGGGAAGAGGTGTACATTCGGTAGATTAAGAATCTGAGCACATTAGTGTCCTCAATTCCACTTCAAAGCTAATTAGACTTCTAATGCAGTTATCAATATGCTCACAAAAATCAAATATGTGAACTAGTGAAAGATTTCTCTCTAACCTCCGGTTGTCCAAATAGCAATATCAGGTTATATCATAAAATAAATTATGGTTTTCAACACTGGAAAATGATAAATATTTTAGAATGAAATTGATACAAATTTGTTAAACTTTTCAGTGCAAGTTCACCAAAATTTTTATGAAAGAATTACTATAAAAATATGAAGGAGTTGTTTTGCTATAGTTTTATTTCAGAGATTGATATGCTAAGTTGCTAACTTACCTCCTTATGGCCCACATGCACAGTTCGGACTTCGATGTCACTCCAATCTACGTTATGTTTCGTCAGATTAGACAAACCAGAAATTGAGGATGCTGGTGTTATTTTGAGATTGTCAGTTACCATAAACTTTTCTGCCCTCTTAACAAATCCTCTTGTGTCTTCAGAGCTAGAATTTGGATCCAAGACAGTTAAAGCTAAATATTCATCTTCCCCTGAAGGGAGAAGCGTTTCATCAGAAATCAGTTTGGCATCAGCATATACATAATAGTAAGGTGGATGTTTATCTTCCTCAATGCCCAAAGGATGATTCTCATAGCCAAAACTAGGGGCAAGCTGGGGACTGAGAAGCATTGCCTTGTGCTCATTTGATTTCAGATATTGCTCGGCATCAAGTTCGCGAATGCTATTGTACAGATGATTTATGCATCCTTTCCAAGTGTCGGTGTGCATTTCCTCCACCGCATACCCAAGTGGAACAGTAAGGAAACTGAAGAGTAAATCAACAAAATCTCCACTTGTTTCTGCATAGCCAACCATCTTCTTGGATTTGCAGACTGTAAGCTTGATCGTGATAGGCTTCTCGCTTACATCTGATGTTAGTTCCTCCATTCCAGATTTAATATATTTGCCAATATCAAAAAACATTTGGTCCAACTCAGGTGTTGGACTGCACTTCAAAAAAGTTCCTGTCAAAGCTGTCTTTGACACCAGTGACATCTTGAGCAATGTCAAAACCTGAAAGAATACATCTAGTCATTAATCTACTATCTAATAGCATTACCTCAAATCATGATTGAAAATAACTACTTACCTCATCTACTCCTATGTCAAGATTGCGCTCCTCGGTGGTGCTTCCATCGGTCAGTCCTAGATTGCTGAGCAGAGAAAGGCTTTCTTCAGTTGATGGGGGCATTACTCGTAATTCATCGCTTATCATAAGTCGGGTTATTTTTTTAACAAACACCCCTCTATCTTGAGCAAAATATGTTTTTTCGGGCAGAAACATCTTCATATTTATGCACTCTCCACAGGGACAAATAACATCTCTATAGTGACTTAAATGAGGGCAATCACTGCGTTCGCCAAGAAAGTACCTCAGCGGCTCAGTCTCATCAATATTCAATTTTAGTCTTCTGCACTGATCTGCAGCTGCATTTCTAGGGTATAACAACATTTTCTTGCATTCTTCAGTCCTGAACAATTGCACATCAAGATTCTCAATGCATTCATATAAATTGTTCATGCAGCCTATCCCCATCGTTGGAGGCCGATTATGGATGAGCCTGATGATTGTTCCCATTGGCATCGTCAAGAAACTGAAGAGGACATCAATAAATTCCACACTTGGTTCAGCAAAGATAACTTTTTCTCTCTTCTTGTCCACCAAGGCTTTCAACCTAATAGGTTTTACATGTTCTTCATCCATTGATTATATGTTTTCTCTTCTTTCTCCGTTTCAAATACCCAAACCTACAACCGGAAAAAAAGTTAATCAAAGATTTTTTGTATTTGTTTGAAGCCTTTTCCATTTACTTAAAAGAATTCTAAAAAACTCCATTTCCACTGAAACATGCACGTTGATAATATGTTTGGAATTTCGTCTTTTTGCAAGTTAAATTTGGTTATCACATACTGGAAATTATTAATTTCCAGAATATACCCATTTTCATGAAGTAAAATGCTAACTTGATTTAGAGACTTTCATCCAAATTAAGCTGTTGTCCACAGGAAATATTTATGCATTGTAAAATTAATCCTCCCCACAACAACAAAAAAAAAAAAAAAAAGTTGCTCACACTATTTAAGAGAGCAAGGTAGTAAATATTCTGAGAAAAGAATTGTTAATTATAAGTGGAAGTCTGGAACTAAACCATTAAAATTAATCCCATTGAAACCACTCCAATCTTCAATGTTTATAGCTTTGTGGGGGTTGGAATAACAGTTAAATCATTCCAAGCATATATAATTGAAGAAGATTAAACAACTAATGGAAAAAGTCTCTACAGACCAAAACTCAATACATCGGCTAGCTCAGGAACCAACATTATATAAGAAGTGATGATTTATGATGAAATCATGATGTATGGTACCTGATGATCGCCAAATGCAGCTAGTTAGCTAGCTAGTGTTGCTTCAGAAGTGTAATGAAGGACTTGGGAAAGGTCGGATAGCGAAGAGAAAACAAGTGGAATTGCAATTTCAGGTAAATTATAGAACTGCTGGTGGGATTCCAACTGCATTTATTCCAGTGTTTTAATGGAGAAGATTTTACTTTAAGTCTTTAACTAAAGTTAAAGTTGCATGCCATCTTTAGCGGTCTTCGGAAATTTCTTATTGTAGAAGATATCAACTTTCTCTTTTATATGTCGTGGAAAAATAAACATCAGTCTCACAGATTTTGATATGGCAACAAGTGATATGCCTCATCACTTCCCAAAAAAGATAAATTCCCTGGCCCTCAATTTTTAAAGTCGGTTTGTTTGGTTATTTTGGGAATAATATCGACTAGGTGAATAGAACGAGTATTATGAGATAAAATTTAAAAATTAATCAAAAAATTTTTTTAGGTTTGTTAATTTAATTAAATACTCTAATATATATAAATTTTATAAAATGATAAAAATACCTTTACTTATCCACAATGTCAGATTCTGATCATCATCGTCAGAATCTGGTCAAAAAATAGTGTTACGAAACAGATTGATCGGATCTGGTTGGTCGTGTATCGATATTGCTTTTTTCGATCAGATCCACCATGAATCTGACCGTCGACGGTCGTAAAAGGTCATATTTGGCTATCAACGATGGTCAAAGATATGACTGTCATTATCAGTCAATGATGATTATTTCTTTGGCTATCAAATCTGGTTTTTTCCAGTCGGATCTATTGTGGATTCGATCAAAAAAGACCAGATCAATGAATTACCAGTCAATTTCGGTCTTTTTTAAGCTGTTGTAATAGATTTCGATAATTATGCGTAGATGAGAGTATTTTTGTTAATTTTTAAATTTTTTTTTAAGTATTTATTAAATTAATAAATTTAAAAGATTTAAAAGTAATTAAAAAAATATTATAGTATTTTTCAAATAATAAAACAAACAATTATTTTGGGAATTATTTTGAGAATAGGAATGAGAATATGGATAGGAAAAACGAAACAAAGAGACCCGAAATTTCCCTTTCCCTAAATCTACCTCTTAAATCAAATTCATTTTCCCTAAAATACAAACCCGACAATTTTTCCCACCATAACATTCTCCAATCTCAGCCGCACCAGGTTGCCGCCCTCCGCTCATCACATTCTCCCATCTCAGCCGCACCACAGCCGCCAACACCATCCCAGACGGTCGTCACTTAACCTGATCCTCTTCCACCACCACTGTCAGTCGACCTCCGCACCACCGCATCCGGAGGAGCACAGAAGCTCAAGCACCTGTAAAAATGTTGAATGAATTGGAACATAGTCTCATCACATTCCCATTCATTCTCCTGTGAAAATGGTGAAGAAAGATGAGTTCTTGAAGCAAAATGAACATCATGAGTCAATCAACGAACAAGTCTCTAGCGGTTTTTGTTCTTTTACCAGGGTTTTTGGTTTTCTAAATGTAATATTTTTGGGATGTTGATTTAAGAGTAATTACTTGGATATATTTGACAGAGGTTTTTTTATTACATCTCTATAATAAGTTTAATTTCTTGTTAGGGCCTTTGGTTTTACTACATTTAATACCCAATTTTTGTGAATGTTTAACTAAAGTGAAGATTTTGGATTTTAAATGCTGCAGGTTGCAAAGAGATTAGAGAACACATCGAGGAATTTCAAGATGTTGGGTAGTTTAGGGTTTTGCGGGCAGCTAGTGTGCACTGTGGTGGCTGCAGTGATTCTGTCTATTTCTATTGTTGTTACTGGAAAGATCACATCGCCTGCCACCTTCTATGCCACTACTGGTGGGATTGCAGCTGCATTTATTTCAGTGTTTTGGTCGTTTGGGTATATTCGGTTTTCTGAGAAGCTTCGGATAACTGCAAATGACCCTTCAAGAAAAGTTATATTGTTGTAGTCACATAGCAATCTTAACATTCTTCTCAAATATTTAAAAAAAAATCAAGTTCTGGTTTGTTATACTTACTAACCTTTGATGATAGCCAACATTCCCTATCACTAAACTGAAGTAAATATTCCCACAGGGCATAGCTCAGCTTTTACGCTACTGAGGAATTTTAGCTTATGTGGTATATATAGTTGTTTTTTATGGTCTCATAAAGAGGGGTTAATTGAACCGGAAACAATGAACCAACACTTAATTCAAGCAATATTACTGTCTTTCAGCTTTCCTATGGTACACTCTTATTTTTTCTTGTCGCAGTTTGTATACTAGTTTTTATTATTTAGTGTAATCTTATCATTTAAGAAAAAAGTGTTTGTCTTTGTTTGGGCTATTATTATAATTATTACTATTGGTTGGTTTTTTGCAGTAATAAATGGCATTCTTTCATTAAATTTGAAAAATCCAATAGTTTTAACAAATCTTCAGCTTGGTTTGATGGAAAGACATTTGGAGTTATGTTATCATTCGTATTCTGTTTTCTAAGGCCTCCCACAACTATGATTGTTACTTTCTTAAGGAGTTATAGTGACAAGGCAGATTTCTTTGTTGAGGATGATTTTGTTAAAGTGTGTTACAGTGGTCAAAAGGAGCTGTGTTATCTTTTGTTTCGTGCTGTGTGTTTCCTTTGTCTCCCAACGGATATGTAGAAGAGCAATTCATATATTATTAGATGTCTACACTGAAAGAATCACTTATTGAGCTCTGACTAGTGCTTGTTACTTAGGTTTGATGCATATGAAGTTATCAGGGTCATGCTTTTTAAGTATTTCACTGAAGTTTATGAATTTCCAAGGTTTCAGGCTCCTCCTTGTGCTGATTTGGTGAGAAGCTTGAAAAATGGCATAGTAGTGAATCTTCTGGGAATTGGTGCTGCTATTCTTGGAATGCAAGCCGCCGTGGGACTGCTGGTTGCGAAGGCTCTTACTTCCTCAGCTAATCCATATTACCAGGGAGTCCCTCCTGGATACAGTCCTGTTCTGGCATTGGATGTATTCCGTGTGCAGGTACTATTGACTTCAGACGTATGATACTTCTTTATGTTAATTCTGGAGATTTGGGGTTGTCTTATTGTATAGATCAGTCTGGGATCAATTAATTTCTACTCATTTTCAGAATTCCTCCAAACAGAAAAGAAGAAAAAAGTTCTAAAATTAATTTTGGCATCCTTCTTCTTTCAAGCTTAATGTTTTGTTTAATATTCTATATCACAAAAAAGTCCTACTGCCATTGCCCTGAATTTGGGTCTATTGAAAATTCTCCGGAGAAACAGAATTCGAGTAAATCATATAGTATTTAAGAGAAAAATAAAAGAGTTTATGATGGATTTGTTTGGCGTTACACTGCATTATGAAAAGCACTGGATCAGTGTTTCAGATTCAAAGAAAATCATTGCAACTTTTTAATTTTCTTCCTCTATATTGGAAAGGAAATATTGAATTAAGAAAATTTTCTTGTTCTTTCTAGTCCTATAGGAGTTATATAGGCTATTGATATTGCACCTTTTTTTTATTGAATTTGAGGAATACTGTCCAGCATGTAGAGGGTTATTTGTCTCATGAGCCCCAGTGATTCACTGGGTCAGCGAAATGGTTAAATTAAGACAAGGATCTCTCAATTCATCATGAACTGAATTGCAGATCCAAAGGCAGTCAATTTACCTCACCCAGTTAAGAAACTGTAAAATTTTTGCCAATTTATGAATATTCACTTAGCGCCGCTCCCATATGCATACAACACATCGTTATAGTATTGTGTTATTGTTAGTATTTTTGTCTTTCCTCCTCATCTATCTGTTGCTTGTGCAGGCATCGGCAAACACTATCCTTTCTCATTTTCTGGGGCTTGTTTTCTCATTGGAGCTGTTGCGGTCAGTGACACTACCAGCTTCAGAAACCATACCAGTTCCCAAGGTTGCATAATTTCTGACCCTCGGTTAATCCAGATGTATGTGAATGCTACAAGTAGAAACTTGATTTTGAAGCTTTAATTGTTGGGAAGTGGAAAGTTGCTTGAGCTCATTATATATTTCAATTTTGCAATTATATTTATCTCATGGTTAAGAAACAAATGCTTTAATATTTCTAACTTTAAAGTAGAGAACTTGAAGGTTTCTGCATTGCTGCACAAAAGAAATAAATTTCTTGAATTCAATAACCAAAAAAAAAAAAAAAAACCATCACTCGGCTATGTTGTTCATTGTTTCTGAGTTCTTTGCATATACCAAGCAAACGTACAGTAATTATCAGTGAACCAGGCTCCAAATGGTTGTATCATAGATCAATTGTTATATATTCATTACTTTCATTCACCTATCATATTTTTTCATTTCGGTAGTCATGTTACGCCAACAGCATGAATGGTTGTCTGTGACACTTAGCAACTAACATCATCCAAAAACTAGTTGTGTTTGGTTTTGCAATATTCAAGAATTCAAACACACATTAAAATGGCACTTGGAATGGAAATTTAGAAACTTAAATATCATTACCAAAATCCAAATTTCCCTCTCCCCCAAGCAGAGGATTTCATTCAAATGGAAATGGCAATGTAATCACATGATTTCAAGAACTAAATACCAAGAATATTGATTCCACACAGGAAGGCAGACAAAAAATTGCATGTTCTCCCAATTGCAAATAGCTAAAGAGGTAAACCCAGCTTCTAAAAGACTATATCATATTAACAGGCATTTGATGAGAAGACTGAAAGCATCCAACCAAAAAGAATAAAAAAAGATCCCAAGTTAAAAACCCAGTTCCAAGCCTCAAATCTAATCCAATGAAATTCAGTTTCATGAATCAATAGTCACCTGCATCAAGTACACATTATGCTTTAGTCCACCTCCATAAAAAATTAGATAGTTAAACCCAGCTAAAACGAATATATACTAATCGTCCTACTGACATAAAGAACTTGAATTAACTAAGGTTATCGCATGTTAGAGGAGACACTACGCCAGAAATTAAATAGGAAAAAATAGACAACTCTATTTACTCATTGGTGGTAGTTACTCAAAAAAACATCTAATTAGTGCTTTGTAAGGATCCAACGAGACACTAAACATTTCAAACACGTTGAAGTTCACAGCATGTTATAACACTAAATATTTCAAATATGTTGCAGTTCACAGCATGCTTAAACACTAAATCATATACCCTGCTTTGTAAGACATTGCTTTTCTTGAACACGAAACTGTTGTATCATTAGTAAAAGAAAACCCAAAATCTACAAATAGAACCTGGATTATATCCTCCAGATCCTCATTCATAAGTAAAGTTTAAAATCAGCTGAACATACAACTGCTATAATAGAGTAACATTTACCAAACTCAAGACTTTATTATCTTCTGGCATCTTAGTAACCAAAGGGTGTGTCATTCTTACAAGCATCACTAGATTCTTACTACTATAATTAAGGTGCTGCGACATATAGACATGCAACTATTCGTGGATGAACAGTATCTTAAAAATGGAGAGATGACAACTGCAGGAAGAGCAGTCAGTTTTCATACATTGGAGAATGCACCATTTACAAACTGAGAAACTCAGCAACTTACAGAGCAAGAGAAGCAGACTTGCCTCCTGAGTCTTCTTTTCCTTCTCTTGGGGCAATGGAATCTTTTTAAGGAGATTATCATCAATTTTCTTGTAGTGTGTTTGAATAACTCGATGTGTTTGGCACAACTTTTCATCAATGGGGTCTTGGTACTTGTCATAAAGCACAGGCACAGACAATAGACGAGAGTGAGAAAGTTGAAGAGACTACCAATGTAAGATACCACAAACAACACAAAAGCAACCTTATGACATACCCACATCACAGAGAAAACATTTCAATTTTTCTCTTGTAAAAATGCTAACAAAACGAATTTCTCACCAGAAAAACTTAGGAGAATCAGCAGCCAACCTGAAGGAAAATTTTCAAATTCCTACCCACAGCAATATCATGTGCAATCGACAATGCATAATTGACCCAAGCTCACATCGCATCAACAGCCATCGCAACAGACTGATCTGAATTTTCCAGATCAGGGATGGGAGGCAGAGGCCTGAATCACAACATAACTAACTTTCATTATGAACAGTGGAGGTCGACTGGCAGTGGTGGTGGAAGAGGAACAGCTGGCGTGACGGCCGTTTAGGGTGGTGGTCGGTTGAGGCGCGGCTGAGTTGGTGGTGTTGGTGGTGGTGCGGAGGTCGACTGACAGTGGTGGTGGAAGAGGATCAGGTTAACGATGAGTGGAGGGCGGCGACATGGTGGGCTGTGGTAGCGGCTGCGGTGCGGCTGAGATTGGAGAATGTGGTGGCTAGATCTGGCCATTTCCGGCTAGATTTGGCCTGATATGGCCGTTTTCCGCCATCAATATGGCCAGAAACGGCCATATCGGAGCATTTCGGTCACGGTAAGCTGCTCACGGCGAATGTCGGCGACTTCTGACGGTGGTTTGCGGTGGCGGCAGAAGGTAGGGGTGATTTTGTCATAAATTAAAAAAGCGGGGTGTTTTAGGAATATCCGAAATATTGAGGGTTAAACTTTATTTAAAAATAATAATAATTTAGTAATTTAAATAAGATGACCATTAATTTATTTTCTCTAACTAAATATATTAATATAATATACTTATCAATTAACTAAACATATTTTTTTAAAGATTTTTAATAATATCGAAGGTAATATAAAATTTCAATAACAAATATTTTTTGAACCAAACAATGTAATTGTCAAAAGAGTAAACGACATGTTCCCACCCAGGTTTGCCGAAATCCCAAGTTAATACTACTGGTTTCATTTATTCCAGATTATCACCCTTAAAGTGACAGAAAAACGTTTGATGTAACGGTAAAGGGGTAAATTGGTCATTTTACATGGGCGACGCACGTTAGCAGACCATCGCCTCTAACAGTCCTCCGACGCACATTAGCAGCCGTCGTTCCCGATATTTTTTGCTCTTTTTCGGCGATTCTTCCACCCAAAATCACCCTTGTCACCACCATTTGAATCCTCATCCTCCCCTCTACAAAACCATACCATTCACAACCCCTCATCACTCGCTGATCTCTGGCCATGGCAACGAAAAACGGCCGATGAACACGAACTCTCGGTCGGCGAATGACGACGAAACGGTTGCTGGGGACATAGGGGTTTTATAGATTTGGGGACGGTGTTGCATTGGTGGTGTCCAATTGAATTTTCATCGCCGGAATCGACCGAAATCTGGTGAAGAACACCGAAACCCTAAACCTAACGGTGCTGGCGATTGGAGGGGCAAATGAGTCGGGAACTAGAGGGGTTTTGGACGACGGACTACAGGGAAGGTGATGGAGGTGACCAGGGGGTTCAACGTCGTCGAAAACAGCCCAGATCGGGCTGTTTCCGATGAGGGTGTATAGTGATCGAGGGTGTTTTTGATATAATTTGAAAATAAAATGGTAAGTTTTGTAATTCTACTAATTTAGGGGTTAAAACATAATTTATTAATTTAGGGTTAAGGGCATTATGGTAATTGCACCCTCTAAACCCTAAAAATTCATAACACTATTACTTTAAGGGTGGAAATCTGGAATAAATGAAACTAGTGGTATTGACTTAAGATTTCGTCAAATCTTGGGTGGCAATATGTCGTTTACTCTAGTCAAAATTGAAAACTTTTAAAAGTATGAGCACCCACGGCTCCCTACCTGTGTAGGGTAGGATTTTGGACCCATCCAAATCAACTCGTGAAATCTGCACCCGTTTGAACTCGACTCGTACCCGATTCCTTCACCCGTTTTGCCAAGTCTACAAGGGAGTGATGTATGCCTAGCATTATTGCTCCATTGTTGCTCCGTGATACATAAAAAATTAGGTAAAATTATAGGACTCTGTTCCCAAAGATTGCTAAAGATGATGCACCTTTAACTTTATTAAAGTAAATTCTTTTCCATTGAAAAACTGAAATAAATGCAGCTGGAATTCCACCAGCGGTTCTATAATTTATCTGAAACTGCTTTTCTACTTGTTTTCTCTTCGCTATCCGACGTTTCCCGAGTCCCTCGTTACACTTCTCAAGCAACACTAGCTAGCTAGCAGCTGCATTTGGCAATCATCAGGTACCATACATGACTTCATCATAAATCATCACTTCTTATATAATGTTGGTTCTTGAGCTAGCCGATGTATGAGTTTTGGTCTGTAGAGACTTTTTCCATTAGTTGTTTAATCTTCTTCAATTGTATGTGCTTGGAATGATTTAACTGTTATTTCAACCCCCACAAAGCTATGAACGTTGAAGATAATGGACCAGGACCACACATGTACGGATACCCCTTTTAACTTACTTAAAACTACTCTTCTACTTGATTTTCTCCACTCTCTGTTCTGTGAATCCTTCATTGAACTCCTCTCCAGCAACTGTAGCTTGGTGATTACCAGGTACTATATATGTTTTTGTCATATTACATCAGTTACTTTTAAAATTAAGTTCTTGAGCATCTGACCTAGAGTTAATAGCATGACTTTATGGGCTGTTTTCTCTGTAGAATTATGACTTGTATTAGTTATTTAATCTTAGCTTTTATTCATCAGTGTTTAGAATGTTTTAATCATTATTTCAATCCCAGAAAGCTCTAAACATTCAAGATTTTACGACTTGTAAGCCTTAGTTAATGATCACATCTCCACCATCTTCTTGTTTTGATTTTTCCTGATGATCTTCTTGTTTGAATGATTTATGTTTATATCCCTTTAAGTAATTACTTCTTTTAACAATGAGTAATTACTACGTTGACAAACGCCTCTCACTATTTTCTCTTACAAACGTCCGATGTGGCACTAAATTGGCTTTACACGTCAAATCATGAACTTTGACTAAATATGAATAGTCGTTACTTAAGGAGGAATAGTCGTTCATTCATAAGGAACGGTCGTTCCATTCATAAAAAACGGTTGTTCCCATAGGGAATGGTTGTTTCCATAAGAAATGGTTGTTCCATAAGATGGAACGAGTGTTCCATCTAATGGAACAGGTGTTCCATATGGAACCCCCATTCCATAAGAAGGAATGAGATGGTCTTATGGAATGGTCATTCCATGAGATGGAATGTGGAATTGGAATGGTCGTTCCTCAACCAAGAACGACCATTCCTCATCCAAGGAACAGTTGTTCCATCGAAAGAACGGTTGTTCCATCCAAAGAACAATCATTCCTATTTCATAACGGTTGTTCCCTATGGAAGAATGACTATTTTTTAGGTGTAGTTGAAATCATTTTGCGACTATTCTAGTGGGAGTTGCCAACAAGAGATATTAATGAGAGACATTTGTTAGCGTAGTATTACTCCTTTTAACAATAGGATCCAAATCCTGACAAAATAAGCTTATAACAGTTGTTTAAGATGAAAATATTAAGAAAACATGATTTTGAAACTATAACAAATGTCAGTGTCTTGGGCCTACGACCAAAGTCCACTAGCAACAAAGCCCAATTGTGTCCACTCAATTAGAAATGGGTAGTTCTTAAATACACCCCACTAACTTCTGAACACACCTCCTTTTAGAAACTAGCTCAACCTAAGGTTGATTTTAAGCCTCCATATCAAATTTATTAGTATCTCCTAATAATATATAGAGTAATACTACAGTCATCGAAAGTTATACACCAAATTTATACATCGAATAACGTAACATAATCCTGACCATCAATTAATATTAACTCATAATTAATCAACGATCAGAATTTAATCACATTATTTGATGTATGAATTCGATGTGAAACTTTCGGTGACTTTATTATTTTCTTTATATATATATATATAATTTTGTCCTTGAATAAATTTATTATAAAGGACAATACAATTCAGGGGTAAGTCTGTAAGGATATTTTTGGTATTAATTAGGGCTTAAAAAATATTTTAAAATATAAATGTTGTGTACTAAGTAGTGGGGAGATATTAATAAGAGTAGTATTGTTTATGTCTCACTAAACTCTTTTAAGCCCAAAACCAATTAAATTTAAATAAATTTTAATTTCTTCCAAAATTAACCTTTTTAACCTCTTTATTTCTATAGTATTTGAATTTATCTTCTATCTTAATTTTTTAACTTCTCATTTATTTAATCATGATTAATAAATAACAAAGTAAACTACAAATTTGTTCAAAAATCAAATCCTTGAATTTTTATCCTTTTTTAATCAAATATTAATGGCCTATTTCAATTTACGCAGATTGGATTAAAAATGTATTTACTTTAAGTCTGTTGTGTTTGTAAGAAAGAAAGATGGCACACACAAAAACAAACTCAAAATTACCAATATAATGCAAATCCTTTGTTGTAACATATTTATATAACATTGCAATACCCTTTGGTCTAACAGCATACGAGATTACAAACATAAATTCTAACACAATATATAACTAGGTTTCACATAAACAACACCTTATATTTTAGCTAAAATAAGATTATTCTGATTGTTCTGAATTTGGTTCTCCTAGAAAGGCAACGGTCAGAGCAGATTTAGATACAAGAGAAGCCACCAATAGACGCAAAGCCTGTAATGCAAAACAAATTCAGAGGTTATCAACAAGGGAAGAAATTAGCAATTCAATATTAGTGTTGGATGTTTAATGTCATAAAGCTCATGATTGATTCAAAACTCTCTATTTTTGCAGCATATTGAGTGGGAAAATGTGTACATTCAGTAGATTAAGAATCTGAGCACATTAGTGTCCTCAATTCCACTTCAAAGCTAATTAGACTTCTAATGCAGTTATCAATATGCTCACAAAAATCAAATATGTGAACTAGTGAAAGATTTCTCTCTAACCTCCGGTTGTCCAAATAGCAATATCAGGTTATATCATAAAATAAATTATGGTTTTCAACACTGGAAAATGATAAATATTTTAGAATGAAATTGATACAAATTTGTTAAACTTTTCAGTGCAAGTTCACCAAAATTTTTATGAAAGAATTACTATAAAAATATGAAGGAGTTGTTTTGCTATAGTTTTATTTCAGAGATTGATATGCTAAGTTGCTAACTTACCTCCTTATGGCCCACATGCACAGTTCGGACTTCGATGTCACTCCAATCTACGTTATGTTTCGTCAGATTAGACAAACCAGAAATTGAGGATGCTGGTGTTATTTTGAGATTGTCAGTTACCATAAACTTTTCTGCCCTCTTAACAAATCCTCTTGTGTCTTCAGAGCTAGAATTTGGATCCAAGACAGTTAAAGCTAAATATTCATCTTCCCCTGAAGGGAGAAGCGTTTCATCAGAAATCAGTTTGTCATCAGCATATACATAATAGTAAGGTGGATGTTTATCTTCCTCAATGCCCAAAGGATGATTCTCATAGCCAAAACTAGGGGCAAGCTGGGGACTGAGAAGCATTGCCTTGTGCTCATTTGATTTCAGATATTGCTCGGCATCAAGTTCGCGAATGCTATTGTACAGATGATTTATGCATCCTTTCCAAGTGTCGGTGTGCATTTCCTCCACCGCATACCCAAGTGGAACAGTAAGGAAACTGAAGAGTAAATCAACAAAATCTCCACTTGTTTCTGCATAGCCAACCATCTTCTTGGATTTGCAGACTGTAAGCTTGATCGTGATAGGCTTCTCGCTTACATCTGATGTTAGTTCCTCCATTCCAGATTTAATATATTTGCCAATATCAAAAAACATTTGGTCCAACTCAGGTGTTGGACTGCACTTCAAAAAAGTTCCTGTCAAAGCTGTCTTTGACACCAGTGACATCTTGAGCAATGTCAAAACCTGAAAGAATACATCTAGTCATTAATCTACTATCTAATAGCATTACCTCAAATCATGATTGAAAATAACTACTTACCTCATCTACTCCTATGTCAAGATTGCGCTCCTCGGTGGTGCTTCCATCGGTCAGTCCTAGATTGCTGAGCAGAGAAAGGCTTTCTTCAGTTGATGGGGGCATTACTCGTAATTCATCGCTTATCATAAGTCGGGTTATTTTTTTAACAAACACCCCTCTATCTTGAGCAAAATATGTTTTTTCGGGCAGAAACATCTTCATATTTATGCACTCTCCACAGGGACAAATAACATCTCTATAGTGACTTAAATGAGGGCAATCACTGCGTTCGCCAAGAAAGTACCTCAGCGGCTCAGTCTCATCAATATTCAATTTTAGTCTTCTGCACTGATCTGCAGCTGCATTTCTAGGGTATAACAACATTTTCTTGCATTCTTCAGTCCTGAACAATTGCACATCAAGATTCTCAATGCATTCATATAAATTGTTCATGCAGCCTATCCCCATCGTTGGAGGCCGATTAAGGATGAGCCTGATGATTGTTCCCATTGGCATCGTCAAGAAACTGAAGAGGACATCAATAAATTCCACACTTGGTTCAGCAAAGATAACTTTTTCTCTCTCCTTGTCCACCAAGGCCTTCAACCTAATAGGTTTTACATGTTCTTCATCCATTGATTATATGTTTTCTCTTCTTTCTCCGTTTCAAATACCCAAACCTACAAGCCGGAAAAAAAGTTAATCAAAGATTTTTTGTATTTGTTTGAAGCCTTTTCCATTTACTTAAAAGAATTCTAAAAAACTCCATTTCCACTGAAACATGCACGTTGATAATATGTTTGGAATTTCGGCTTTTTGCAAGTTAAATTTGTTTATCACATACTGGAAATTAATTATTTCCAGAATATACCCATTTTCATGAAGTAAAATGATTACTTAATTTAAATACTTTGATCCAAATTAAGCTGTTGTCCACAGGAAATAATATTCTGAGAAAAGAATTGTTAATTATAACTGGAAGTCTGGAACTAAACCGTTAAAATCAATCCTATTGAAATCATTCCAATCTTACATGTTTTTAGCTTTGTGGGGGTTGAAATAACAGTTAAATCATTCCAAGCACATGTAATTGAAGAAGATTAAATGACTAATAGAAAAGTCTCCACAGACCAAAACTCATATATCGGCTAGCTCAACATTATATAAGAAGTGATGATTTATGATGAAGTTATGTAATTGAAAGGGAGAATGACATTTTCCCACCCAAGGTTTGGCGAAACGACACTTTCTCACCCATCAGGTTTCAAAATGACACTTTCGCACCCTTAAGAAAATCTGGTAGGATGCTCAATTTATATTTAAAGTCTACCCATTATACTTACTACATGGTACATCCTAAGTTCCTAACGCTAAACCCAACATCTCTAAGTCACTCCTACAGAATTGGAAGCAAAAAACACATTCAGATAGCCCCAGTTTCTTGGGCTAACGTATGCACATTACACAAATAATTCAAAATCCTCATATATAAACGAATCAAACAAAAAATGAATGGCTTAACTTTATGCAGACTAGTTATTATAGAGGAGAGGTAGCTCCACTATAAGGAACGCCGGGTTATCCCGTTTACTCATAATAATGCTCATCTTGTTAACAATGGTCTTGCTACTTCAATCCAAAGGCTTCGTTGCTGCACAATGTATCAGGTTCTCGCCTTCTCAAATAGAATTGTAGAGCTTGGAAACATATTGGTTGAAAGACTTAAAGAATATGAATTCTCCTTATATTTCTCTTTATTTGAGGTATTTAATAGTATCTTGCTGATTACAAGTTTGATTTTTATATACTTTTGGTCGTTTAATCTTGCTAACTGGTAACTGTAAAATTTGCAGATATGAACAAGACATGCTTTCTTGTACAGGCTGCAGTTACAATCTCAAATAAACATAATTGAGTGGATCTATTAGCAGCCACTAATGACTAAAGAAGCCCCACTTGTTAATAAATTTTACAATGACAAATTTATCCCTAAATTTAATTATTAAAATTAACTTTAATTTCATATTCTTTACAAATATTTTGACACCCCACTATTATCTTATAATTTTTTTTTTTTTTTTATGTTATTCAAATCATTCTTATAACAAAAATATAATTTAATAGAGGGAACAGATTTGCAGTAGGATATATCAGTTTAAAAGGAGTACAAAATTGTAAATTTTTATTGCTTCTCATATAAATTTATTGTTATTTTTTTCTTCAAACTATTGGTAGCTATTTTGATCTATATAATTTTTTGCGTTTTTTAAGTGAATGGGATTATTTGTAAGGATTTTTTTAGCTTTAATTTTTTCTAAACTTTCAATTTAATTATAAAAAATATATATATATATATATATTTTAGGAATAATGATGGTAGGAGGTATATAACATACATGAAAGTAATGAAATGTTAGGCTCCGTTTGGTTCAAAATTTGGGGGTTTTGGGAAAAATTTTTTGAAAAAAGTTAAAAAAAAGTTGAATTAGGCGAGTATTACGATGTAGAATTTATAAATTAATAAAATACCTTTTATGTTTATTTTTTTACAAAATACCCCCTATAATAAAATATTAAAAGTTAACAAAAATACCCCTAACCCACCCTCAAACACCCCCAACCGGAGACCACCAACGGAGGTGGCCGGAGTCGCCGTATGGGCGCATGACCGGTTGGATCTTGCCGGTCATGCGTCGCTATGGCCTTTTTCGGCCAGATTCAGCCGGTAGTGCGCCATCTTACCAGATTCTGGCCATTTTCCGGTGGTGGTGGCCGGAATCTGGTAAATGTGGATTATTAGGGTGTTTTTGTAATTTTAAAAAAAATATTTAGGAGTATTTAATTAAATTATCAAATTTAAGGGGTTTAAAAAAAGTTGAATAATATTGGGAGTAGTATTCCCAAAAATCTGAGTTTTTGGGTATTTTACTGTTTAACTTTTTTGGGAATACTAAAAGTAGTATTCCCAAAACTGAAACAAACGCAGCCTTAATTTTTTAAAATATAAAAAAAATGAAATAGAAGGCATTCATGGAATTTATGGGGTGTCGTAAGAAAGAACAAAAAATTTAAAACTTTAAAATAGAGTGTCTTAAGAAATTTAGTTGGCGTAAATAGCTCCACCCAATTTAAAAACTGAAAAAAATCATCAAACTTAATTTCAAAACCGAAATAACACGCTCTATTGTAATGGCCCAGAGGCCTCAAACATGATGATGAAAGAAGTCAATTTCTTGGGCCTACACTCTGTTCATTGATTTGAGATAACGGACCAGTTGCCTCCATGGCTCCACCCAATAATCAATTTCTGAAATAAATTAAAACAAAAAAAGTTTTCACCCGGAAATATTTATGCATTGTAAAATTAATCCCAAAACAGAAAAAGAAACTGCTTACACTATTTAAGAGAGCAAGGTAGTAAATATTCTGAGAAAAGAATTGTTAATTATAACTGGGAAGTCTGGAACTAAACAATTAAATTAATCCCATTGAAATCACTCCAATCTTCAATGTTTATAGCTTTGTGGGGGTTGAAATAACAGTTAAATCATTCCAAGCATATATAATTGAAGAAGATTATATAAGAACTGATGCTTTGGTGAGCCTGGTATTTAGCGGCCACAGCTACAGCCGTAGCTTTCTCCTACGGGACCTCGTTTTGTTTTACTTCTACACTCACATACTATCACTAAGAACTTGGTGTAGTAAAAGATTCCTAAATTGAGACCTAGGAGAAAGAGAAATTTGAACAGAGTTTTGAATTTAAAGAAATTTGAAAATCAAAGAAAACGATTCAAGGATTTATAAGGTAGTTTTATGCAGGTACACATTCTGTATATCTGCAATCTATCGTCATGCTGCCTTGATATGTCATTATCTTGCAATTCAATAAGAATTACACTGTAGTAATTGATTCAAATTATCAGGAAATGAAAACCTTGGGAGTTTTAAAATTGAACGAATTAGCTGATCTTGTTGTCACACTTTGATGCTAATAAGACTGCTAATGCTCTGGCCAATGTGAGGCAGAAACATTAAAATACAGTAGTTGCAACCCAGTAGAAGATTTTTCTCCGCCTAATAGGTGTATCTTCGATGTAGAGTATCTGTGATTATGTGGAAAAAAAAAACTTTTTTCTTATAAAAAGTCCTAAATTGTGTAGAAAATAATCAATATTTGTAGACAATGGGATGCTTTGTGAGAGTTTTATTGCAGAATTTGATACATTAACTTACCTCCTCACAGCCCACATGCACAACACGCTCCTCAATGTCAGCAACAGGTTTATCCNATAGTAGATACTAATGGATAGCCCTTTTTCTGAAACAAGGAAAATGATAAATTCATTCAAAAACACTATAATTCTAAGCAGTTCTCTTTTCAAGGTTGCAAGATTTATGGACTGTTCCATCGTCCAAGTGTAGGCAAATAATTAGGCACATAACAGGATGCTCAAATCCTACTCTATGAATAGATACAAATAAGAAACAAGGATATATGTTTCTATATATTTGTTAAGGTAGAAAAAATAAACCGTGCTGTAACAGATAAAATATTAATCCAACACAAGATGGAACAAAGCTATACTAGATAGCAGAGAACAGAAATTGGTCCCTCAATCTTTTGTAGCCGTGACTCATATATTGTTTATAGGTATAAATCAAATTTACCTCCATTTCTTTACAAATCATATTCCATTCGTTTGTGAACGCCACCCACGTTGGAGCTAAAATTTGAAATCTACCTCACAATAGATAGATTTCTTTTTCCTTTTAACGTCAAAAATCATTTTCTTCCTCTAAATCAAAATCATGTAACTTTAAACTAACAAAAATGTTGCAACTCTACGGACGAAAACATTGTAAGTAACTGATTTTCTATGATAAAGTTAGATAGGGTACCTGGTTTCCAGCTAGTACATTGCTGGAATGACTCATTATAAAGTGTTAAGCAGACTTAGAAATTACACGTGATAAGGAAACATGAAATGAAACAATAAACGAGAAGCGATATTTGAAGTGGTTCGGATGTTCAACAGTGAATCCTACGTCCACTGCTATTGTATTAATAGATGGGTAAAATTAGGTCGCGTGAGGCAAGCTGAGTTATAATCTAGAGATAATACAAAAAAAGAGAGAAAATGTGTAAGTTATTTTAGACTAAGATTAGTCAATCCCATAAATGAGAGGGGTATCCTCTATTTATAGTGGGAGAGTTCAAGGTAATGATTACAAGTCTGCAAATGGGTAGATGCAGTGTTGATCCTTCCTTGCACCCCATTGGTCATCGTCACTCGAGAAATATCCTCAAATCGCGTAGGGCTGGGGCAAGTGGATAATCCCTAGCCACTCGCAAGCTTGGTACTCACCCGCTGCAATGACAAGAACCGCACCTCTTTTGTCATTGCGTGATGTGGCAGTGCCTGGACGGCACAAAACCTTCCTGAACCCTGATTGGCTCTTGCTAACCAGCGTCCACCTTAGCCCTAACTTTTCAAGCGTAACAGAAGTGTAATAAGATTTTAGAGAGGATGAAATAGTGTACTGCGCTGAAAATTTTAGTGAAGAATATATACACTAAGTTAAGGGAGCATTGATCGTTGCCTGTGAAGTAGTATTCTTGTCGTCTTTAGTTT